CACGTAAATATCAGAAGCCTCCTTCCTAAGTTTGAGTTATTCACTGCGTTAGCACACTCCGCCAACCCTGATGTTCTAGCAGTGTCTGAATCCTGGCTTAGGAAGGCCACCAAAAATTCTGAAATTTCCATCCCCAACTATAACATTTTCTGTCTAGATAGAACTGCCAAAGGGGGTGGAGTTGCAATCTACTGTAGAGATAGCCTGCAGAGCTCTATCATACTATCCAGGTCTGTGCCCAAACAGTTTGAGCTTCTACTTCTAAAAATCCACCTTTCCAGAAATACATCTCTCACTGTTGCCGCTTGCTATAGACCCCCCTCAGCCCCCAGCTGTGCCCTGGACACCATATGTGAATTGATTGCCCCCCATCTATCCTCAGAGTTCGTACTGCTTGGTGACCTAAATTGGGATATGCTTAACACCCCGGCCATCCTACAATCTAAACTAGATGCCCTCAATCTCGCACAAATTATCAACGAACCTACCAGGTACAACCCTAAATCCGTAAACATGGGTACCCTCATAGATATCATCCTGACTAACTTACCCTCTAAATACACCTCCGCTGTCTTCAACCAGGATCTCAGCGATCACTGCCTTATTGCCTGCGTCCGTAACGGGTCCGCGGTCAAACGACCACCCCTCATCACTGTCAAACACTCCCAAAAACACTTCAGCGAGCAGGCCTTCCTAATTGACCTGGCCCAGGTATCCTGGATGGATATAGATCTCATTCCGTCAGTAGAGGATGCCTGGTTGTTCTTTAAAAGTAATTTCCTCTCAATCTTAAATAAACATGCCCCATTCAAAAAATACAGAACTAAGAACAGATATAGCCCCTGGTTCTCCTCAGACTTAACTGCCCTTGACCAGCACAAAAACATCCTGTGGCGTACTGCATTACCATCAAATAGCCCCCGCGATATGCAACTTTTCAGGGAAGTTAGGAACCAATATACACAAGCAGTTAGGAAAGCAAAGGCTAACTTTTTCAAACAGAAATTTGCATCCTGTAGCACTAACTCCAAAAAGTTTTGGGACACTGTAAAGTCCATGGAAAATAAGAGCACTTCCTCCCAGCTGCCCACTGCACTGAGGCTAGGAAACACTATCACTACCGATAAATCTACAATAATCGAGAATTTCAACAAGCATTTTGCTACGGCTGGCCATGCTTTCCACCTGGCTACCACTTCCCCGGCCACCAGCTCTGCACCCTCCGCTGCAACTTGCCCATGCCCCCCCCGCTTCTCCTTCACACAAATCCAGACAGCTGATGTTCTGAAAGAGCTGCAAAATCTGGACCCCTACAAATCATCTGGGCTAGACAATCTGGACCCTTTCTTTCTAAAACTAGCCGCCGAAATTGTCGCAACCCCTATTACTAGCCTGTTCAACCTCTCTTTCGTAACGTCTGAGATCCCCAGAGATTGGAAAGCTGCTGCGGTCATCCCCCTCTTCAAAGGGGGTGACACTCTAGATCCAAACTGTTACAGACCTATATCCATCCTGCCCTGCCTTTCAAAAGTATTTGAAAGCCAAGTTAACAAACAGATCACCGACCATTTCGAATCCCACCGTACCTTCTCCGCTATGCAAGTTTCCGAGCTGGTCATGGGTGCACTTCAGCCACGCTCAAGGTCCTAAACGATATTATAACCGCGATCGATAATAGACAGTACTGTGCAGCCGTTTTCATTGACCTGGCCAAGGCTTTCGACTCTGTCAACCACCGCATTCTTATTGGCAGACTAAATAGCCTTGGTTTCTCAAATGACTGCCTCGCCTGGTTCACCAACTACTTCTCTGATAGAGTTCAATGTGTCAAATCGGAGGGCCTGTTGTCTGGACCTATGGCAGTCTCTATGGGGGTGCCACAGGGTTCAATTCTTGGGCCGACTCTTTTCTCTGTGTATATCAATAACGTCGCTCTTGCTGCTGGTGACTCTCAGATCCACCTCTACGCAGACGACACCATTTTGTATACATCTGGCCCTTCATTGGACACTGTGTTAACAAACCTCCAAACGAGCTTCAATGCCATATAACACTCCTTCAGTAGCCTCCAACTGCTCTCTTCTCTTAAACACTAGTAAAACTAAATGCATGCTCTTCAACCGAACGCTGCTTGCACCCGCCCACCTGACTAGAATCACTACTCTCGACGGGTCTGACCTAGAGTATGTGGACAACTACAAATATCTAGGTGTCTAGTTAGACTGTAAACTCTCCTTCCAGACTCACATTAAGAATCTCCAATCCAAAGTTAAATCTAGAATCGGTTTCCTATTTCGCAACAAAGCCTCCTTCACTCATGCTGCCAAACATGCCCTCGTAAAACTGACTATCCTACCGATCCTTGACTTCGGCGATGTCATTTACAAAATAGCCTCCAACACTCTACTCAGCAAATTGGATGTAGTCTATCACAGTGCCATCCGTTTTGTCTCCAAAGCCCCATATACTACCCACCACTGTGACCTGTACGCTCTTGTTGGCTGGTCCTCACTACATATTCGTCGCCAAACCCACTGGCTCCAGGCCATCTATAAATCACTGCTAGGCAAATCCCTGCCTTATCTTAGCTCATTGGTCACCATAGCAACACCCACCCGTAGTATGCGCTCCAGCAGGTATATCTCACTGGTCATCCCCAAAGCCAACACCTCCTTTGGCCGCAATTCCTTCCAGTTCTCTGCTGCCAATGACTGGAACAAATTGCAAAAATCTCTGAAGCTGGAGACACTTATCTCCTTCACTAACTTTAAGCATCAGTTGTCAGAGCACCTTACCGATCACTGCACCTGTACACAGCCCATCTGAAATTAGCCCGCCCAACTACCTCATCCCTATATTGTTATTTATTTTGCTCATTTGTACCCCAGTATCTCTATTTGCACATCATCTCTTGCACATCTATCATTCCAGTGTTAATACTAATTGTAATTATTTTGCACTATAGCCTATTTATTGCCTTACCTCCATAACTTGCTACATTTGCACACACTGTATATATATTTATTTCTGTTGTATTTTTTACTTTGTTTTGTTTTACCCCATATGTAACTCTGTGTTGTTGTTTTTATCGCACTGCTTTGCTTTATCTTGGCCAGGTCGCAGTTGTAAATGAGAACTTGTTCTCAACTGGCTTACCTGGTTAAATAAAAAATAAAAATAAAAAAGTATCAAATACTTGTTCTCCCCACTGTATGTATGTTTGGGCATAAAGACATGTTTCCCAGGTGTCCTGTAGGACCATAGTGTCTACTCTCTCTCTCTGTCTCTCTCTCTCTCTCCCTCTCTCTTTCTCTCTCTCTTTCTCTCTCTCTCTCTCTCTCTCTCTCTCTCTCTCTCTCTCTCTCTTTCTCTCTCTCTTCTCTCTCTCTCTCGCTCTCTCTCTCTCTCTCTCGCTCTCTTGCTCTCTCTCTTGCTCTCTCTTCTATCTCACATACAAAGTGTTGTCTTCTTTATCTCTGCAGTTATCTGGGAAAGGGAAGTTGAACCACATTGATTTCTCAACATTAAAGGACGTTATCTGTGTGTATTATCGCCTAATGCAACATTTCTGACTTAAATTGATCTTTCCCAGTAGTCCACTAAACCTTGTTGACATCACACTTTGCCTTGATTGTGGACAGAATTGCCTTTGCGTGAGGCGAGAGTTGATTATCATTCCCTCCTTTGCGTGAGGCGAGAGTTGATTATCATTCCCTCCTTTGCGTGAGGCGAGAGTTGATTATCATTCCCTCCTTGTGTCTGAGGGTGGTCTTTGTCCCTTTGGGTCTTCCATGGTAATGGGAACAGTCCTTGGCTTCCATATATTTTTCCCCCCCCAAAATAATTTCCTTTCTAGTTGCTTCAAACGCTCAATCCCTGGAATGTGTTCAATCATAGGTTTGGCTCTTTGCTTCGTGCCGAACTGAGTGATCTGAACTCAAAATAGTCCAAATGGTCCTGGAAATTATTTTGAGAACCCAAAGAATTATTCGAGGGGATCTCCCCCCCCCCCCCCCCCCCCCCTGCAGAGCTTGTTGTTAACTCCCACCAGCTCTCACAGTCTCACGTCAGAATTAAACGTTCATCCGTGTTTCTCAAACTTGTTAAAGGTTAAGTTCAGGCATTTACTCTGAATGGTTAAGGTAAGGGTTAATTAAGGTTTTGCCTAATTAAGCTTTTAGATTATAAAAAAAATCTAAAACAACTTTCAATCCCTGGATTCAAACTTGCAGCCTTTGGAATCAGAGGCAGATGCTTACACCCATCCTCCATCCCTGTCCACAACGCCCTGGTAAAACCCAAACCTCAGCGCTCACTGTTGCCCCTAGTGGCCGGTTTCCACGTCTTCTCCTGACATCCTCAGACATGGATTGACGTCGAATACTAACTTGTATCACAGGTGACCTGGCTGGTTAACTCGGCCCCTGGCATCCTTCAATGATGTTCCCACCCTCCTGATGGCACACTTTGGGGGGCTGCAATGGGTAATCTCATACACACACACACACACACACACACACACACACACACACACACACACACACACACACACACACACACACAGACAGACTTGAGAAGAGCTTGTGAAGACAGTGACACAGAGGCATGTCCTATCAGAGGTATGTCCTGTCAGAGATACAGTATGTGACGTCTGTTTAGTTTGTAAGTGAAGGTCATGTGTGTTATGTTCTCTAGAGCTTCTTTCCCCACACAGCTCAGTACAACGCAGCTCAGTACAACGCAGCTCAGTACAACGCAGCTCAGTACAACGCAGCTCAGTACAACGCAGCTCAGTACAACGCAGCTCAGTACAACGCAGCTCAGTACAACGCAGCTCAGTACAACGCAGCTCAGTACAACGCAGCTCAGTACAACGCAGCAGAGTAGGGCTACAGTACAGCAGCAGCATTATTGAAAGACAGGAGACAGAGAGAGAAAGAGACCATTTGGACTTGAGCTCACACGATTTGGTAATAACCAACGAGCCAACCCACTAACCAAAAAGTCTGCCTGTTTTTCTGCCTGTCTGCTTGTCTGTCTGCTTGTCTGTCTGTCTGTCTGTCTGTCTGTCTGTCTGTCTGTCTGTCTGTCTGTCTGTCTGTCTGTCTGTCTGTCTGTCTGTCTGTCTGTCTGTCTGTCTGTCTGTCTGTCTGTCTGTCTGTCTGTCTGTCTGTCTGTCTGTCTGTCTGTCTGCCTGCCTGCCTGCCTGCCTGCCTGCCTGCCTGCCTGCCTGCCTGCCTGCCTGCCTGCCTGCCTGCCTGCCTGCCTGCCTGCCTGCCTGCCTGCCTGCCTGCCTGCCTGCCTGCCTGCATCACTGGGTCAGGTTCTAGTGGTGAGTCAGTCTCCTGAACACTTCCTGTCTGCAACAGACCACATGGAAATGGAAGGAATAGAATGGAGAATTATTGGAACCATAAATAGAAAAATGTGCAGAATAGTCCGTTTTGGTCCCATTAGGAGGCATCTTTTTGTGCTTTCACTAGACGTCTCATTATAAACATAAATATAGGTTGTAGTTACAATGGTGTTTGTTCTTTATCCTGCCACTGGTCACTATTACTCCTGTTTACATGTATATATTACCGTTAGCAGGGACAGGTTCATGGATTAAGAAATCATAGATTAAATCAGTATATTATGTTAACAAGACATTTGTGGAATGGTTGAAAAATGAGTTTAAATGACTCCAACCTAAGTGTATGTAAACTTCCGACTTCAACTGTACATACTGTTTCCACCTCAATTATCCAATCTCCCTGCATGTTACAGGAGGGGTCGCAGTTCCGGAGCGACCCACTAGGTGTCATCCTCCGACAACCTTAGGCACCTCCTCACTCACAGCCTGGTCTAATCATCATCCTATTGGTGTCACCTGTGTCTACCTGTTCACCTGTGTATTTATGCCCTCACTTCCCTGTGTTCCCTTGCTCAGTTTTCTCTGCTAGTTTCTTGATGTCAAGCAGTACGAATCAGAGTCTGATCACGAGACGGAAATACAGGTACTTGAGAAGTGTTCTCCCTGTTTCATTGTTGTTTTCAGTCATAGTTAGTATTTCGTATTTCTGCTGTCAGCCTGTTTTTGGAGACCAATATGCTCCTCCTTTATTTTTTGTGTCTGTTATTTTGTATCCTGGCTTTGGGACCACCAGTAAAGATCCTGTTTCACCATCTCTGCCTACTGCCTACTGTCTATCCTGCACTGCACCTGGGTCACGCCTCACACCAACCCTTACAGAAAACTGAGCCAATATAGACCGAAGTGGAGGCAACACAGTATCAAAGCGCAACGCAGGGAGCCATGCTGAACCAGCATGACCGCAGCCTGCAGCAGATCACAGAGAATCTTTTCCAGCTGACGATCGCCGTACAGAGCCGAGTGGACACCCGACCAGCCCCGGCAGCTGGTGGAGCGGAAGCCGCGGAAGCGGCTTCTCCATTCTCGCCTGCGACATCGCGGGAACCCCGCCCACCACCTCCGGAGAGGTACGACGGACGTCCAGAGGGCTGCAGGGAATTCCTCACCCAGTTTTCCCTGGTATTCAGCCTACAACCCTCCTCCTTCCCAACGGAGCAGGGCCGGGTGGCCTACATTATCACTCTGTTGACAGGTCGGGCCCTTTCCTGGGCTACCGCGGAGTGGGAGAGCCAAACTCCGGCGTGCTCCGACTCCTATCAATTCAACCGGGAGCTAAGCAAGGTGTTCGAGACCTCTCGGGTGGTGTCAGGGCACGAGGCTGGGAGGCGGCTCACGGCCTGTTGGCAGGGTGACCGTTCGGTGGCGGACTACTCCGTGGAGTTCCGGACCCGGGCTCGAGAGGCAGGATGGGAGGAGGTCGCCTTTACGCGCAGGAGCTATCGGAGGGGATGAAGGACGAACTCTCCTTCAGGGAGCTGCCTGAGCGACTGGACGGCCTCGTCGACCTCTCGGTGCGGGTAGACAATCGGCGTCGTGAGAGAGAAGCATGATGCAAGGCGTGCCTCCGCGTCCCCCTATCAGCCTGGAGGCTTTCCGACCAATTCAGGGAGGAGGCTATGCAGATGGGTGCGGCGCACTTGTCCAGGATGGAGAGGCATCTGCGCCAGGGACGTTGCCTGTACTGCGGCCAGGCAGGTCACCATTGCGAGTCATTCCCGGAGAAGCCAGGAAACGGGAGGGCTCGCTAGTATCGGTAGGGATGCTAGCGAGCCGGAACCGAAACCCCAACTCCAGAGACAGCTGGACTTTTCTCCCCATCAGGGTTCAGTGGGCACATGCTGCGTGTCGGGCGCATGCACTGGTGGATTCTGGGGCTGGAAACCTGATGCACGCAGGGCTGGCCCAAGGGTGGAGCGTTCCATTACTCTTCCTCTCCGAGCCGGTTCCGGTCATGGGCCTGGACGGCCGGCAGTTGGGGTCGGGCTTTATCACCCGGTGCACTGTCCCCGTGCGTGTCCGGGTGGCAGGGGGGGCTTTGGGAGGATATCCAGTTTTTCATTGTGGATTATCCAGAGTGTCCCCTCATCCTCGGGCACCCCTGGCTGGTCGCCCACAAACCCTGCATAGACTGGTCCACGGGGCGGCTCATCCTGGAGGGCGGCTCCGCCCCCATCCTGTTCCAGTCTCCACCGACCACTCATCAGCCCAAACCACTGTCCCAGACCACCTACCAGTTCTCACCTCTTCGGTGGCGGTTGCCACCGGGAGGACGGCGGCTACAGACTCCGTCACGGGCCAGACCTGGCAGGCGTTCCCCGGGAGTATTGGGATCTGGGGGAGGTGTTTAGTAAGAGGCGTGCCAAGGGCCTACCTCCTCACAGGCCATACGACTGCGCTATCGATCCCCTGCCGGGCGCCATGCCCACACGAGGGCGATTGTTTTCCTTGTCCCGGCCGGAGACGCTGGCCATGGAGGGAGTATATCGACGAGGCACTCGTCGAGGGTCACATCCGTCCCTCTACCTCACCCGCGGGCGCAGGCTTCTTCTTCGTGGGGAAAAATGACGGTGGGCAGCAGCCGTGCGTTGATTACCGGACGCTCAACAACATCACGGTTAAGAACCGCTACCCACTCCCCCTGATGACGATGGCATTCGAGTCGTTGCAGGGAGCCCGGGTCTTCACCAAGCTGGACTTACATAATGCCTACAACCTGGTGAGGATTCGGGAGGGGGACGAGTGGAAGACGGCGTTTAACACACCCAGTGGGCATTACGAGTACCAAGTCATGCCATTTGGTCTAGCCAACGCGCCTGCGGTGTTCCAGGCGTTGGTCAATGACGTGCTCCGGGACCTCCTCGACTGCAGTGTCTTCGTGTATTTGGATGACATCCTAATATTTTTGAAGGACATCCTGTATCCTGGCTTTGGGACCACCAGTAAAGATCCTTGTTTCACCATCTTTGCCTACTGCCTACTGTCTATCCTGCACCGCACCTGGGTCACACCTCACACCAACACTTACACCTGCACATTGTAAATGTGGTACTGACCCTGACCCTGACCCTGACCCTTTACATAGCTTCCTCTCTGTGGCCCTGACCCTGACCCTGACCCTGACCCTGACCCTGACCCTGACCCTGTACATAGCTTCCTCTCTTATTTCTTAGCTCTCCTGTCTATTAGTTATACTATTTTGATATTGATAGCGGGCGCCATCCCATAAACCCTTGCTGTCACAGTGGAGGCCAGAGGACCTATGTACAGGAGAGACTTCTGATCTGTTTTCAAAAATGGAGATTCTGATTAGGAATTATGAGGTATGTCGTGTTGGAAGACTAAATAGTGTGGCCTTGGTGGGGCTATAGGAAGGAAGCAAGTCAGGAATTGTTTTTAATGTGTATTTTATCAATTCCATAGAGGTACAAAAAAAATACCTCTGCAGCCTTACTAGATGTTGAAAATACCACAGGAATTGTGGTATTTGACTAAAGATTTGATTGAAACGTATATTATCTAATGTTTTCACTAGTTTTGTTGGGCTGGGAAATTCTGCGAGGTAGCATAACATCATAATCACCAGAACCTTGTAGCAGTTGTGGGAGGCTAGAGTCACATCTCTCTCTCTCTCTCCCTCTCTCTCTCTCTCTCTCTCTCTCTCACTCTCTCTCTCTCTCTCTCTCTCTCTCTCTCTCTGTGGGGCCTAAATAACCCATGTTCCTATTTTAAACACAACCGCAGTTAGTTAGAGGAGAACAATGCTATAAACATGAAATGTCTGAGATTACGTTACGTCCAAATTCAGGAATGAGAGAGAGAGAGAGAGAGAGAGAGAGAGAGAGAGGAGAGAGAGAGAGCGCTAGAGAGAGAGTAAGCAGTAGAGAGGAGAGACGAGAGAGGGAGAGGCGATATAGATCGCTCTATATACGAGAGATATAGATAGTCGAGATCAGCTACACTAGAGTAGATGGAGGACAGAGAGCCCCACAGGCATGCTTGAGGAGGTCAGTGACACCAGAGAAGATGGAGTAGAGACCAGTGAAATAGATAGATGGGGCCATGCACCCGATGAGGACAGTGCATAGATAGATGGGGTAGGACGAGTGACCAGATAGAAGATGTGGCAGTAATAGAGGACTAGACATAGATAGAATGCTAGGCCAGGGTGACCACCATAGATAGATGAGAGACCAGTTGACCACCACTAGAATAGATGGGAGGACCAGTGACCACCACTAGATAGATGGAGGACCAGTGGACCACCACTAGATAGATGCGTAGGACCAGTGACCACCACTAGATAGATGGGAGGACCAGTGACCCACCACTAACTGATTAGATTGTGGTAGGACCAGTGACAACCACTAGATAGATGCTAGGACCAGTGACCACCACTAGATAGATGGGAGGACCAGTGACCACCACTAGATAGATGGGAGGACCAGTGACCACCACTAGATAGATGGGAGGACCAGTGACCACCACTAGATAGATGGGAGGACCAGTGACCACCACTAGATAGATGGGAGGACCAGTGACCACCACTAGATAGATGCTAGGACCAGTGACCACAACTAGATAGATGCTAGGACCAGTGACCACCACTAGATAGATGGGAGTACCAGTGACCACCACTAGATAGAGCTAGGACCAGTGACCACCACTAGATAGATGTAGGACCATGACACCACTAGATAGAGAGGAACCGTGACCACCACTAGATAGATGCAGGACCAGTGACCCCACGATAGATGCTCAGACCAGTGACCACCACTAGATAGATGGGAGAGACCAGTGACAACCACTAGATAGTATAGGGACCAGTGACCACACAGATAGATGCTAGGACCAGTGACCACCACTAGATAATTGTAGGACCAGTGACCACCACTAGATAGATGCTAGGACCAGTGACCACCTAGATAGATGAGGAGTACCAGTTGTACTCACCACTAGATAGAGAGGGACCAGTGACCACCACTAGATAGATGCTAGGACCAGTGACCACACTAGATAGATGCTAGGACAGTGACCACCACTAGATAATGGGAGGACCAGTGACACACCACTAGATAGATGTGGATCGGATGGACCAGTGACCACCAATAGATAGATGGCGAGGACAGTGACCACCACTAGATAGATTGCTAGGACCAGTGACCACCACTAGATAGATGCTAGGACCAGTGACCACCACTAGATAGATGTAGGACCAGTGACCACCACTAGATAGATGCAGGACCAGTGACCATCACTAGATAGATGCTAGACCAGTGACCACACTAGATAGATGCTTAGGACCAGTGACCACCACTAGATAGATGCTAGGACCAGTGACCACAGCTAGATAGATGCTAGGACCCAGTGACCACCACTAGATAGATGGGAGGACCAGTGACCACCACTAGATAGATGCTAGGACCAGTGACCACCACTAGATAGATGTTAGGACCAGTGACCACATCTAGATAGATGCTAGGACCAGTGAACACCACTAGATAGATGGGAGTACCAGTGACCACCACTTGATAGATGCTACGACCAGTGACCACCACTAGATATATGGGAGAACCAGTGACAACCACTTGATAGTTTATAGGACCAGTGACCACCACTAGATAGATGCTAGGACCAGTGACCACCACTAGATATATTCTAGGACCAGTGACCACCACTAGATAGATGCTAGGCCCAGTGACCACCACTAGATAAAGACAAGGACCAGTGACCATCACTAGATAGATGGGAGGACCAGTGACCACCACTAGATAGATGCTAAGACCAGTGACCACCACTAGATAGAGAGGAGTACCAGTGACCACCACTAGATAGATGCTAGGACCAGTGACCACCACTAGATAGATGCTAGGACCAGTGACCACCACTTGATAGATGCTACGACCAGTGACCACCACTAGATATATGGGAGAACCAGTGACAACCACTAGATAGTTTATAGGACCAGTGACCACAACTAGATAGATGCTAGGACCAGTGACCACCACTAGATATTTCTAGGACCAGTGACCACCACTAGATAGATGCTAGGACCAGTGACCACCACTAGATAAGACAAGGACCGTGGACCATCACTAGATAGATGGGAGGACCAGTGACCAACCACTAGATAGAGCTAAGACCAGTGACACCACTAGATAGAGAGGAGTACAGTGACCACCACTAGATAGATGCTAGGACAGTGACCACCACTAGATAGATGCTAGGACCAGTGACACCACTAGATAGATGACGGACAGTGACCACCACTAGATATATGAGGCCAGGAAACCACTAGATCAAGCAGGACCTAGACAACATATATAATGGAGGACCAGTGCCACACCACTAGATAGATGCTAGGACCAGTGACCACCACTAGATAGAGAGGTACCAGTGACCAACCACTAGATAGTGCTAGGACCAGTGACCACCACTAGATAGAGCAGGACTAGTGACCATCACTAGTAGATGGAGGACCAGTGACCACCCTAGATAGATGCTAAGACCAGTGACCACCACTAGATAGAGAGGAGACCAGTGACCACCACTAGATAGATGCTAGGACCAGTGACCACCACTAGATAGATGCTAGGACCAGTGACCACCACTAGATAGAGTAGGACAGTGACCACCACTAGATAGATGACTAGGACCAGTGACAACCACTAGATAGATGCTAGACCAGTGACACACTATATAGATGGGAGGACCAGTGACCACACCACTAGATAGATGCTAGGACCAGTGACCACCACTAGTAGATGCTAGGCACCATGACACCACACTAGATAGATGCTAGGACCAGTGACACCACTAGATAGATGCTAGGACCAGTGACCAACACTAGATAGATGGAGGACCAGTGACCACCATAGATAGATGCTAGGACCAGTGACCACCACTAGATAGATGCTAGGACCGTGACCACCACGATAGATGCTAGGACCATGGACACCACTAGTAGATGCTAGGACCTGACCAGGACCACTATAGATTGGAGGGACCAGTGACCACCATTAGCTAGATCCTAGGATAGAACCCCACCCACTAGATAGATGTAGGACCAGTGACCACCAGTCGATAGATGCAGGACCAGTGACCACCATAGATAGGGGGACCAGGCCCCCCACTTGAAGATGCTACGACCAGTGACCATCCACTAGCTATATTGGGAGAACCAGTGACAACCAAATAGATAGTTTATAGGACCAGTGACCACCACTAGGATAGATGGGAGGACCGTGACCACCACTAGATATTTCTAGGACCAGTGACCACCACTAGATAGATGGGAGGACAGTGACCACCACTAGATAGATGCTTAAGACCAGTGACCACCACAGATAGAGGAAGGAGTACCAGTGACCACCACTAGCTAGGATGCGGTCAGACTAGTGACCACCACTAGATAGATGCTAGGACCAGTGACCTACCAACTAGCTGAGAGAGGAGGACCAGTGACCACCACTAGATATATGCTAGGACCAGTGACAACCACTAGATAGATGCTAGGACCAGTAACCACCACTAGATAGATGCTAAGACCAGTGACCACCACTAGATAGAGAGGAGTACCAGTGACCACCACTAGATAGATGCTAGGACCAGTGACCACCACTAGGATAGATGCTAGGACCCAGTGACCACCACTTGATAGATGCTACGACCAGTGACCACCACTAGATATATGGGAGAACCAGTGACAACCACTAGATAGTTTATAGGACCAGTGACCACAACTAGATAGATGCTAGGACCAGTGACCACCACTAGATATTTCTAGGACCAGTGACCACCACTAGATAGATGCTAGGACCAGTGACCACCACTAGATAGAGACAAGGACCTGTGACCATCACTAGATAGATGGGAGGACCAGTGACCACCACTAGATAGATGCTAAGACCAGTGACCACCACTAGATAGAGAGGAGTACCAGTGACCACCACTAGATATATGCTAAGACTAGTGACCACCACTAGATAGATGCTAGGACCAGTGACCACCACTAGATAGAGAGGAGGACCAGTGACCACCACTAGATATATGCTAGGACCAGTGACAACCACTAGATATATGCTAGGACCAGTGACAAACACTATATAGATGGGAGGACCAGTGCCCACCCCTAGATAGATGCTAAGACCAGTGACCACCACTAGGTAGAGACCAAGGGAGTACCAGTGACCACCACTAGATAGATGCTAGGACCAGTGACCACCACTAGATAGATGCTAGGACCAGTGACCACCACTAGATAGATGCTAGGACCAGTGACCACCACTAGATAGATGCTAGGACCAGTGACCACCACTAGATAGATGCTAGGACCAGTGACCACCACTAGATAGATGCTAGGACCAGTGACCTCCACTAGATAGATGGGAGGACCAGTGACCACCATTAGCTAGATGCTAGGACTAGAACCACCACTAGATAGATATTAGGACCAGTGACCACCACTAGATAGATGCTAAGACCAGTGACCACCACTAGATAGAGAGGAGTACCAGTGACCACCACTAGATAGATGCTAGGACCAGTGACCACCACTAGATAGATGCTAGCACCAGTGACAACCACTAGATAGATGCTAGGACCAGTGACAACCACTAGATAGATGCTAGGACCCGTGACAAACACTATATAGATTGGAGGACCAGTGACCACCATTAGCTAGATGCTAGGACTAGAACCACCACTAGATAGATGCTAGGACCAGTGACCACCAGTCGATAGATGCTAGGACCAGTGACCACCACTAGATAGATGCTAGGACCAGTGACCACCACTTGATAGATGCTACGACCAGTGACCACCACTAGCTATATGGGAGAACCAGTGACAACCACTAGATAGTTTATAGGACCAGTGACCACCACTAGATAGATGGGAGGACCAGTGACCACCACTAGATATTTCTAGGACCAGTGACCACCACTAGATAGATGGGAGGACCAGTGACCACCACTAGATAGATGCTAAGACCAGTGACCACCACTAGATAGAGAGGAGTACCAGTGACCACCACTAGATAGATGCTAAGACTAGTGACCACCACTAGATAGATGCTAGGACCAGTGACCACCACTAGATAGAGAGGAGGACCAGTGACCACCACTAGATATATGCTAGGACCAGTGACAACCACTAGATAGATGCTAGGACCAGTAACCACCACTAGATAGATGCTAGGACCAGTGACAACCACTAGATAGATGCTAGGACCCTTGACAAACACTAGAGAGAGTGGAGGACCAGTGACCACCATTAGCTAGATGCTAGGGCTAGAACCACCGCTAGATAGATGCTAGGACCACTGACCACCACTAGATAGATGCTAAGACCAGTGACCACCACTAGATAGAGAGGAGTACCAGTGACCACCACTAGATAGATGCTAGGACCAGTGACCACCACTAGATAAATGCTAGGACCAGTGACAACCACTAGATAGATTATAGGACCAGTGACCACAACTAGATAGATGCTAGGACCAGTGCCCACCCCTAGATAGATATTAGGACTAGTGCCCACCACTAGATAGATGCTAGGACCAGTGACCACAACTAGATAGATGCTAGGACCAGTAACAACCACTAGATAGATGCTAGGACCCGTGACAAACACTATATAGATTGGAGGACCAGTGACCACCATTAGGTAGATGCTAGGACTAGAACCACCACTAGATAGATGCTAGGACCAGTGACCACCAGTCGATAGATGCTAGGACCAGTGACCACCACTAGATAGAGGGGAGGACCAGTGACCACCACTAGATAGATGCTAGGACCAGTCACCACCACCAGATAGTTGCTAGGTAGTAGGTGCTAGGTAGAGGGTAGTGTTTATAACACCCTTTCAGCCAGTAGAGGGTAGTGTTTATAACACCCTTTCAGCCAGTAGAGAGTAGTGTTTATAACACCCTTTCAGCCAGTAGAGGGTAGTGTTTATAACACCCTTTCAGCCAGTAGAGGGTAGTGTTTATAACACCCTTTCAGCCAGTAGAGGGTGGTGTTTATAACACCCTTTCAGCCAGTAGAGGGTAGTGTTTATAACACCCTTTCAGCCAGTAGAGGGTAGTGTTTATAACACCCTTTCAGCCAGTAGAGGGTAGTGTTTATAACACCCTTTCAGCCAGTAGAGGGTAGTGTTTATAACACCCTTTCAGCCAGAAGAGGGTAGTGTTTATAACACCCTTTCAGCCAGAAGAGGGTAGTGTTTATAACACCCTTTCAGCCAGAAGAGGGTAGTGTTTATAACACCCTTTCAGCCAGTAGAGGGTAGTGTTTATAACACCCTTTCAGCCAGTAGAGGGTAGTGTTTATAACACCCTTTCAGCCAGTAGAGAGGGTAGTGTTTATAGCACCCTTTCAGCCAGTAGAGGGTGGTGTTTATAACACCCTTTCAGCCAGTAGAGGGTAGTGTTTATAGCACCCTTTCAGCCAGTAGAGGGTGGTGTTTATAACACCCTTTCAGCCAGTAGAGGGTGGTGTTTATAACACCCTTTCAGCCAGTAGAGGGTAGTGTTTATAACACCCTTTCAGCCAGTAGAGGGTAGTGTTTATAACACCCTTTCAGCCAGTAGAGGGTAGTGTTTATAACACCCTTTCAGCCAGTAGAGGGTAGTGTTTATAACACCCTTTCAGCCAGTAGAGGGTGGTGTTTATAACACCCTTTCAGCCAGAAGAGAGTAGTGTTTATAACACCCTTTCAGCCAGTAGAGGGTGGTGTTTATAACACCCTTTCAGCCAGTAGAGGGTAGTGTTTATAACACCCTTTCAGACAGTAGAGGGTAGTGTTTATAACACCCTTTCAGCCAGTAGAGGGTGGTGTTTATAACACCCTTTCAGCCAGTAGAGGGTAGTGTTTATAACACCCTTTCAGCCAGTAGAGGGTAGTGTTTATAACACCCTTTCAGCCAGTAGAGAGTAGTGTTTATAACACCTTTTCAGCCAGTAGAGGGTAGTGTTTATAACACCCTTTCAGCCAGTAGAGGGTAGTGTTTATAACACCCTTTCAGCCAGTAGAGGGTGGTGTTTATAACACCCTTTCAGCCAGTAGAGGGTAGTGTTTATAACACCCTTTCAGCCAGTAGAGGGTAGTGTTTATAACACCCTTTCAGCCAGTAGAGGGTAGTGTTTATAACACCCTTTCAGCCAGTAGAGGGTAGTGTTTATAGCACCCTTTCAGCCAGTAGAGGGTAGTGTTTATAACACCCTTTCAGCCAGTAGAGGGTAGTGTTTATAACACCCTTTCAGCCAGTAGAGGGTAGTGTTTATAACACCCTTTCAGCCAGTAGAGGGTAGTGTTTATAACACCCTTTCAGCCAGTAGAGGGTAGTGTTTATAACACCCTTTCAGCCAGTAGAGGGTAGTGTTTATAGCACCCTTTCAGCCAGTAGAGGGTAGTGTTTATAACACCCTTTCAGCCAGTAGAGGGTAGTGTTTATAACACCCTTTCAGCCAGTAGAGGGTAGTGTTTATAACACCCTTTCAGCCAGTAGAGGGTAGTGTTTATAACACCCTTTCAGCCAGTAGAGGGTAGTGTTTATAACACCCTTTCAGCCAGTAGAGGGTAGTGTTTATAACACCCTTTCAGCCAGTAGAGGGTAGTGTTTATAACACCCTTTCAGCCAGTAGAGGGCAGTGTTTGTCCATAAATTGTGGAACCACATTTCCCCCAACCCGTGTATCCTCTCTGCACTGAGTGAAGTCTGCAGACTTCCAGTTTCAGCAGTTTAACTACTATTGTTTTTGTGAAGAAGTATTGCTATGCTTAGAAATTGAGAAAGGGAAAATGTTAAATAATTTAAATAATAAATGTGTTCGTGTGTGAAATGTTTGTAATACATAATACTGAATCAAAGTGGATTGGTAATATCCTAAGTAACATAACTGCTTATATTTCAAATATCGAAGATTATTTCTGCTCAAGGGGGACACAATCTCATCACAACAATTATATTACTTGTGGTAAGTAGTTTATTCAATATTATTTACCAACAAATACTTTTCTTCAAAATAAATAATCCGCTCTCCTTTAGTGATGACATTGCTTTTGTTCAGACAAAACCAGGAAGTCCTTGAGAAAATGGTTTATGTTTTTGTCCACTTGAAAAAAAGTTGTCTAAATTCGTCGCGGGGATCTGATTAGGTTTACAGGCGCTTTTTATGGTTCTGCTCGTTTTTTGGTCAATTTAGGGACATAAATGAGTGGCCTGCTATTTCAATCTGAGTTAGGACGGAGTTACTGTTGCTGCTCAGATGTATGTTCTGACCGAACTACCTGACAAAAACCTATACATTTGAAATTGTGAAACAAGCATCTTTTTGTCTTCCATTGCAAAATGTTGCTACGGTGTGCCCTTCTGAACACGACCCAGGTGAATTGTAGAGGGGGCAGATTAACAGAATAGTCCGGGTCAGAAAGCATGCAGCCTCAGTGCATGAGATATAGAGGATATTCAATTATGCGTGTGAAGACAAGGTGAATCTAAAGCCGGGGGAATCACAGAGGTCACATTGAACAACCAAGTCAGAAATCAGGGTTGTGTTTAGTAGGTAGAAAACATGTTGAAAACAGCGTGAAACAGGGCTACCTAATTGTCCAATAACAACACAGAGTTTTCCTTTCATTGCAAACCATTTTTCTGCGGAGTGCCCTTACGAACACAGCCCAGGATTAGTGCATTAGATGAAAGACAGATATTCAAGAACAAATCAACTGTGACAGTATTGCCTGACAAAGATAGATGATTGTGATGGATCTGTGTAGAGACAGATCAAATGAAATCAAATTGTATTTGTCACATGTGCCGAATACAACAGGTGTAGTAGACCTTACAGCGAAATGCTTACTTACAAGCCCTTAACCAACAATGCAATTTTAAGAAAGAATGCCCAAAAAATACATGAAATAACAAAATAATAAGAAATAAAAGTAACAAATAACTAAAGAGCAGCAGTAAAATAACAGTATGGAGACTATATACAGGGGGTACCGGTTAGTCGAGGTAGTTGAGGTAATATGTTCATGTAGGTGGGGTTAAAGTGACTATGCATAGATAATAAACAGAGAATAGCAGCAGAGTAAAAGAGGGGGGGTGGTCACTGGTCAAACAACACATTTTTAAAGGCAATGTTCCAGGGTTTGCGGAGACCACATTAACGATAAGAGCTGAAGGAGAGGATGAGAGGAGGAGGAGAGCAGAAGAAAATTGAGATAACGAGAGGTGTATCTCTCTCTCTCTCTCTCTCTCTCTCTCTCTCTCTCTCTCTCTCCCTCCCTCTTTCTCTCTCTCTCTCTCTCTCTCTCACGCTCTCTCTCTCTACATCTCTCTCCCTCTCTCTCTCTCTCTCTCTCTCTCTGTATCACTCCCCCCGTATCTCTCTCCACCTT